AGGTAGTCGTGATGGGCTAGTCCGGTTCTATGCCCTTGGTGAGGATAGCAAGTCTGCGGAGCTCATGTCGAGTGCTAACAATGGGATAAAGGGAGGGTACTCTACACTGTTGGTGTCGACAAGATGTCAGTTGTGCGGTTGTCAGGGTCGCGGCGGTGACAGCTCTTACAATCTCTTCTGATGGGAGCATGGTCATTACTGGTGATGCTGGTGGACTCCTTGCATTGTACAATGTTCCCACTGGTGAGATCGATTGGATCAGGGTATCTGGTGTCAAACACTTAGCATTCGCCCTTAGAGTCATCCCGGGACGTATCTGGTCCGCGAGCGGTCTTTGCCGATCATCACATGGAGGGCTGCGGTGTGAGCAGGTGGATAACTCTGCGGGGTCTACATTGATGGTGATCATCCGTGTTTAGACTGGTGAGGGTCGACGCGGAAACTGTGATGTCGGCGTCCCTGGACAACACTCTTGCCCTATGGGACATTTTGGCCGTCAAACGCAATGCAGTTCTCCCCTGTGGAAGGTGGGGGATTCGGGACCTTAACGATTAAGCTCTTCGAATATTAGAGGATCATCGTTCTATAGCGTGTGCGGTCATCTCCTGCTATAGGGCTCCTCTGTTTATCTGTTCTTGCAATGCTCATTATTAGTGATTTAGGGCGGCAACCGCTATGGCGATCTCAGCGAGTAGACAAGGAGTATGCACAGGCCACGACGACGGCCGTGTTGCTTACTGGGATCTGCGCTCTTCGAAGAATGAGCTCGAACTCGTTCAACAGTACAGGACTCACGAGCGTTCTATCACGGGGGTGAGTGATGAGCTTCAAGGCTGATACTGTTCCTCACTATGGGTTCAGGTGTCGTGGAACCCGACGAGTGACTACCTAGTCGCTACTAGCTCTCTCGATGGGACTGTTAGACTCTATGATTCACGTTCGGCTCGGCTGCCACTTCAAAGGTGTGATATGCCCCAAGACATCGCAGTCACTGGATGTACATGGCTTAATGACAAGGTAATCACGATACCTGTCCTTCTGGTCGCAGCTGGTTGCAATGCGTTATCTCAGGTGATCCTCTCGTCGGGTTCGGATGGCAAGGTCCGCACTCATATGATCAATCCATCACTGGCTACTCAGTGACTACACTTATGCCGATCGATGGCCCAACGTCATTCATACGTATATTCCTAGACGAAAGTTTCTTGCCAAAAGTTCGCTTGTTTAGTTGTATCATCTACGATGGAATACATTCACGATTTTTCGATCATGGAAACAACCGCCTTTAGCGATCTCGAGTGCAAGTTCGATGAAACTGATGTAATTGTTATGGACACAGGGTCGGGTCTCACTAAAGTCGGCTACAGTGGCTACGACGTCCCTGTGAGGGTTATCCCGACTGTGGCCTTTCAAGCCGAGTTTACTCGAGAAAGTATGGCTTCTCCGTATGTCTACGATCTGGTAGTGGCCAGTTCTCTCGTTAGGCTCGTTTGATGACAGTCTGATCCTTGAGACTACCAGTGGGAGTCGGGCAAGCACAGCTGAGACCAAGGATGCAAAGCTGTACGGTGAAGATGCGATCCATGCCTTCGTCGAGAGTGGTGGCCAACAAGCGAGTGCTGGTGAACGGCAAATAATACGACCAGTGCAACGTGGTGAGATCATTGATAAGGATCATCTCGAGGCCTTCTGGGAGTACACACTGAGACAGATAATGAGACCATCCAAGCGGAAGCTCGATGGTGGGGTCGTTACTCGCCAGTTCCACCCTTGAATGTCGTTAACTGGTCTCAGGAGCAGTGTCTCTGGAGGAGTTCCCAGTATTGATGGCTGATACCCCATCTAGTACTGCTGTGGCGACGGCTAGCAATGATCAACTCGTCGGTGTTGGTGGCAACAGCTATACTCGAGCGTGGATGGCAGAGGTGGAGTCTCCGGCCTACAATATGGACCTCAACTCATACCAATCAGGTTATGTTTGAGAAGTTCAATGTTCCGGCTTTTGCTGTCATGAATACAGCAGCCCTCTCCTTGTTCTCCACCGGTATGCCCACGGGGCTAGCGGTCGACATCGGGGAAGGGTATCCTCTATGATTGAGCCTCGTCGCGATCCTAGTCACTGCTTGTAGGTACTCATGCCACACCGGTTTTCCAAGGATTTGCCAT